ACAATACTAAACTCTGTTTACACTGTTTTATACTTAGTTGTGAAGTATTCACTGCTTGTTATCCTCTTTTCTCTCCCCCCCTTTTGCTCTTCAGCTACCAATAATTAAAAGCCCATTAGTGACACAAAAACCTAACAAACAAAAAATCTTCCTTATATCCAATAGTTAAAATTTACAGAACAGACTCCTTTTAAACACAGAACGTATTCTGCTGTAAAATGAGCACAGGTGGAGAATAAACTATCAGGAGAGACATTTTATGGGATTGGTTTAGTGCTGCTTAAAATTCTGCAACCCAGTAACCCAGCCTCAGGGATCTGAGAAATGCAGAATAATATGAGTTTAGTTAAACACTCAGTGTGTGTATAAAATAAATAAATAAATGGCTTGAAATCAATCAATGAAAAAAAAAAAAAAAACAAGGGTTCAGCGACTGGTTTTGTTGAGCTTGACTTGGTCTCCTTGACTAACTGGCAACAGAAGCCTGGCCAGAAATTGACCGACTTGTAGGCAAAATGACAGAAACAGGAAACAACCAACACAGCTTTTATAAGTCCATGCTGATTATTTTGACATCTGCCAATCTCTAGGATACGATTTCTGAAGCCGATACTGCTTTTTCTACTGCCATTTACCTGACAGAAATAACACAATCACAACAAATGTTGGACAAGTCTCAATTTAAATAAAAAAGAAAGATTTGTCAACAAAAAAAAATAAATTAGGATGGATAGCAAATGGATCTGAATACATGGCTGCCTAATACACTAATGAACCGGTAAAATGGATACATGCATCGTCTGATGCAATACCATAATATTAGCCAACCGATGGTTAGTCTACCTCTAGTTTAAATAAATAAAAGCTTAAAGAATGCAGTGCAAAAACATACCAACACATTCACTGACATGCAGGCATTTAGTCTGTCCGAATGGCCTTGAACATCACACATCAACAGCAAGAAGCTGACGATAAGAAATGGCATGAGGAAACGCTGCTTCTGTAATTTAATTCAGTTTATTTATATATCGCCTTAACTGCACTCTTTATAGTAAAATATTGGATATGTAAGTGAAAGTTTAAGCATCACTTCATTAAAGACAGATGCATAGAAAAGTGAAATAAGCTTACTGCATTTTTTAGATGATTCTTGGTTTAGACACTCTTAACTTACATGAATGTGCAACCGGAAAGCTCTTGTAGAACTTAGCAAGAAAAATAACATTTAACTATCTGATTCTGTTGTGGTGGAGCAGAAACTGTCAAAACTCTCCTCTTATTCATGACTTTGGTCTTATTCATGTGGCTCTATTAAGGCATGAGGTAAACACCTACACCAGGCTGTCTTATACCAACCAAGCCTGAAGAGAGGTAGCAAAATGTTGAATCAAAACTGAGCAGCCAGGCAGCTCAGCATCCAAAACTGTAAGTACGATAAAAAGCTGTCCCCACTTCTATTCACATTTGTTTTGTTGCTAATCTGATCTTGAGAAATCGTTGCAGTCTTTAAAGTCACAAATACAATGCAGCTTTTCTTCTACTTGATAAGCACAAAAGACTCCAGGGACTTCAAGAGAATGCTTTAAGAGGGATGTTAAGGGTGGTGTAGATCGGTGTTTCCCAACCTTTTTTTTACTTGTGTACCCATTTTGGGAATTTTTTTGTAACATGACTCAAAAGTACTGAAGATTGTCCAAAATTATAATGTACCATAATTTAAATTAAGACTATTTTACTTCATCTTTTAATTTGAGCATTACATTTTTATTTAAAAAATGCTTTCCATCCCAAAAAAAAAACAAAAAAACAAACAACATAGGTATGTTTCCTGGAAGTTTGTAAAGAATCAAAATATATAATAAATAAATCAGATTATAAACCTGCATTTATAAAACTGGAGCTCCTCTGAGTAACTCCCTTATAATCATATATAACTTTGGTCCTCACAAAGCAAAACAGATCAGTGCCCTATTTTAATTTACAACCTAAGAAATTAAATATTTAATGTACCCCTTGCAATGCAAACAAGATTTCCTAAGGAAGGGTTCAACCACTTTTACAACCCTAGGAGCCATTTTGTCCTACTGTAAGTCCAGCTAAGCAAAATTGGATTACAGCAACAAAACCAATAGATTTTATTTTCATAGAAGAAAATCTACATTTATGTAAAATAAATGAGTATGTTCTCTTTATGTTTGTTTCCTTGAAAATAATGTTAAAATCCTTACAGAAAGGAAAACATCATTTTTAAACTAAAAACATATAATAACTGAAAAATAGATATATCTTTTACACTTACTGTAAAGAACTGTGAAGGCTAACATTTACAATTTATCTTTACTATTCAGTACACTGCTCAATTCTTTATTATTTTCTCACCAAAAAACAAACAAGAAAATGTGCAACCACAGAATATAAATACCATCAAAGGAATAAAATTCTCTCGGATCCAAAAATTAAACATGAGCACACCAGACCACTAGGGGGAGCCGAACACCATGTCAGACAGATCCAACAAAGACATTAACAGAATGAGCAGAAAGTTGCAAAGATGTTTTCCTTTTTTTTTTTTTTTATCAAGAGACGTAGGCCAAATCCCAAACCGCTCCATAACCACTTACCCTTAACTATAAAGGGTCACTCGCAATGAAGTCTCCCTCGCAGCTGTGGAAGGCGCCTTGATTGGGAGGAGGGGAGGTATAAACGAGAATGGAACAATTTCTTTCCTTCAACAGAAAAGGAAAGCAGTCAATGACACCCCATGTGTGTGGCTGTAGCTTTATGGTGCAGGTTAACACAACATTAAACAGTTGCCCCTTTCTTAAAACAAATGTACAGTCAAAAAACTAATTAATCACAATCAAACTTTATTGATTTCACACTGGAGAAATTCACTTGTGCATCTTAACCCATCCCCTTGGGGAGCAGTGGTCTGCCACTGTGCGGCACCCGGGGAGCATGGTGGGGTTAAGGGTTTTGCTCAGAGAGCCCAGAGTGCAGGCTGTGGGGTAGGACCGGGTGCTTGCCACCTTCTCAGAGCATGTACACCTTCTCAGGTGTAGTAGAAGATCTTTTGTGACGCATTTTGACGGCCCGTGGTCCACTATTAATTCCCGACACGTCAATCACATCAACGCTTCTCTGTCCCCCCCTTTGTGCGTACCCTGACACATGAACGAATCGACCCCCCAAATGCTTGTGCAGGCGCGAGGACCAGTGACGTCACGTGAACTCAGTCACATCACCTAGTTCGAAGCCATAGTCGGTGCGCGAGTTACTCTCTAGTAGCTCTATACGGTACAAATTGTGATTCCTGTGTGTTTTTTTGTAGGTTATGACAACACGATCAGCCAGCAACTACCCAGCTCGACACCTACAAAGCAAGGACTTTTTAAGCCCCTCCACCCCTGCCGCTATTCTGGCTTCACTCCACGGCTCT